GTAACCTTGAAAAGGTCAACGGACATTGTGCCAATGTCAAATCAGCCAGTTATGATTCTAAAACAATCCATCAGTGTGTCAGGTCAGTCGGCATTTATACCAATGTGAAGCAATCTCCAATTTAGCGTAAATCTGGCCGGAGGTTGTTCCCTTTATGACGTCATAACTCCGTGACCTGACATGACCTTGACAAAAAAAATTACCAAAAGTTGCGCAAAGGATGCCCCAAAGGGTACTGAAAATTTGAGTAGGCTATCTGAAACGGTTCGGCGTGTAGCTAAGAAAAACCTCAGGGGGGGGGGGGTTGCACCAACCCCCCCCCCCCTACATGGGCGAGGGTTAACACATGAACGTACTGTTAGATGAGCCTATCCAATTGCTTGATGTGGTAGGGTAACCGGCCAATTGATACAGCATTTTTTTTATTCAGACCTCCCTCCAACGGGCTACTGGCTCCCAATTACAGGAGGGCTCCTCCTCCTCCCGGTCCTTGTTTTCCCCACCCCCAGGCTACGGCTGAAGTGGGAGCCTACCCCACACCTGCTGACACAGCCGGGGACGACGCCCGCGGAACGGGCGGAACCGGGAATCGAACCAGAAATCCGGCACCGCCCGCACCGCGGGTCGACGCCTTAACCGACTTGGCGCCACCAGGGCCAGCATGCAGCGATCGAGTAAATTGGGCAGTTCGTTTCTTTTCTTCTCTTTGCATTGGCAGGGACAGTGGCGTATCCAGAAGTCAGCGAAAGGGGGGGGGGCATGGTGCTCGAGGGGGCGACTTTTTCCCTTGAGAAAGAAAGAGAAAGCCATTGTCAGCTCGCGACAGGGCGTCAGTCTAAAATGTCAAACGTCATGTTCATGCATGATTTACTAGGTGCTGCGAAATGCGAGTATAAAAACTAGGTTTCGCTGATTTTTCATAAAATCCAATTAATGCAATTTTCAGCCCGGTGTTGTTTTATCAAAAAACCTTGATCTTGATGAATATTTAGCACGGTATAGGAAACTAGCTCAGGCTACGGACATTTTATTCTAAAAAAAACGCATCGTGTGAATTTGAAACGGTAAAACATACATTGATCGATGAACACATTTTTTATTCTTTGCAAAAAAAAATTATACAGGTTCACTCACTGATCCAAAGTGACCTGTGGGCTGCAGCCTGTGGTCGACCGGAGTGGCCATGCTTAGAATCTAAGACCGCACGTAGTATGAAGGATTCACGCTGCGACTTATTGCCGAAATTGGAATCCAGGAAAGACTTGAACATTTCAGACCATAAGATCCACCATAAGATCCCAACTGATCGTCATACTAGCAGCGACTGCAGTCAGAAGTGACCGAACGCTTACACATACGCTCTGGATTTTTTTTTTCTCCACAAATCACCTTAAATTCGATGTCTATAGTGCGCGCAGCCCCTACTTGTGGACATGGGTGACTGCATGAGTGCCAGATGGATGAGGTGTGAGACTATCCCGTATCATATAGTGGCACTAAGGTAAAGGATGTCCTTGGCCGACGTAGTATAGAGGACGACCTTTGATGATGTGAGTGTGCATGATCGACTTTGAATAAGCGCCATAGATACCTGCTGATCTCACCGAACATTTTGCGTAATCCCCAGATAAAATATCTACATTGAGGGACAGGTCAATTTTGGGACCTCTCCATTTAGTTAAACCGCGCCGTGCTGGTTACCTGTGTTTTCCTTGTCATGCTGGGGGGGGGGGGGGCGTTTTCACGCGACCACTCTAACTTCGCTCCTGGGCCACGTAGCGACACGCGGTATGCGGCAATCGAAAGAGCGTCAAAATAATGACGTAAACACTTAATTTAGTTTTCAGGTTAGGTCAAAGGTCAGGTCGCCAGAGGTCATCAAAGGTCAAATTTAGTCCATTTAAACAATTTTGGAAACTGCCAACGGATTTTGGAAGCTGCCAAAAATTTGACCTCAGGTCAAGGTCATGACCTGACCGCTCGGGCTCCGCGGCGGCGGCCAGCTCGCCGCCCACCGGCGATCTCAGGACGGCGGCGAACGGCGGCTGCTCTCCCCGGCCCGGCCGCACCCCAGGCCCACGGTCTGGCATCGCCCCTGATCGGGCGCTGCGGCCCCAGCCAGCCAGAGGCCTTGACCACAGACTAGGTTCGGTAGAATGCGGTGAAGGATGTTGTGCCGCACTGATTGGTGGTCAGTCTTTCCACCTCTTCCCAGACCGGTAGAATGTGGCGCGGTCGGCCAGGGTTCGCGGCCCATATCCAGTGCCGGGCGACAATGTAAACAAACATTGATATGGCTAAATTACTAATGATCGATGGGTAAAAGTCACTTCACTCGGTTAAAACAGTCTCTCACTCGGCCTCTGCACTCGTTCAGCGCTCAGCACCCGGCCAAAACGCAAAAAAAAAAAACAGAAAAACACGGAGCGTCGCGTGCCGCGGCCGCCATAGTCAGGCGCCAGCGGGCATACGTAATTTCAAACTTGCAGTTTTCGGATTCTAAGGGGATAATGCATTGGGATGCCCCCTTAGAATTTGTGACGTCAGCGGTGATCTAACGATTTTAAAACCTTATACTAACATCTTTGTGAAGCAGTGGTGGATATATGCTATTTGCGCGCAGCATCTGCCGCAAACGGCGCACTTCCAAAATGAAGTCGCTAGGAACAGCGGAGGTCCCAAAAAGTAAACAAAAGTAAAAGTCTAATATCTTGAAAAGCGGTGAATATTTTTCGGGGAAATTTGGTAGATATTCGTTTTTGCTCTTTCTGAACCGAGCGACATCACTTTCATGCCAATTCATTAACTTTTTTGAAGGTGGGAGGGTCCCTTTAACTCGCTACCTGGAGGGCCGTACCATACAAAAGGCCGATCTTTTACGAACCCTTGAGCTGCATGGTTTAAAATAGAAACTACTAAATATCGTCCTAGTCTAGTATATGCGCGCCCCTGTATGCAGAAAAGTAATAGTCCGGCGAAGATTTTATTTGCAAGCAATAATACCGCAACGCTTATACCAAAAAAACAAACTAATTGCCTTTTTCATGCTACACTGAAAACAAGTTGAAAGAACGTTATGCAAAAGCATCTTAAAATATTCCACACTTAGGTTTTTTGGGTATTAGGGTAAACTGGCTTAGAGGCGAAGCAGAACGTCTGGTTCATGAAGAACACACACAGTGTTCCACATAGACCGAAGACACGTGCTGATTCTTCGCGTGCAGTCTTAGTGGCCCCAGGGGGCTTCAACTCGACCAACACCGGTTCTTCTTCGTTCTCCCTAGTCACGTGATATTACGTCACAACAAGCGCGCGAAAGATAAACCCTTTGAAGGTTTTGCACGATCTAGCATCGGGTTTAAGAAGAAGGGGTTGTGGTTTAATCAGTGTAATGGCTTTCATCAAGACCAGGCCCGCGGTACCACGTTCTAGCGTCCACCGGAAGCGATCGCCATTTTTCGATCGCGTTGGATCGCGCTTTGTGCAGTGACGAGCGGCTGGTGCAAGATTGGGTGAATGGCAAGTAATCAAATATTGAAGAACTGAAATAAAGTTAATTTTTGGCTAGTCAAGTGTTGTGTATTATATATATATTACTTGTGATTGACAATAATAAGCAATATCACAACGCTCTTCAAATGCATGGATGAATGCATTGGATGAAGACAATTCATATGCAAGACCAATCAATGCAGTAAGTATTTATATGTTGTATAAATGCCCCATAGCTTAAATTATGCATGTGGTATTTAGACAAATCTTCAAAATGAAGATAAATCAGGAATAGAATCAGCTTGCCATTTTGGGGTCGATTGATTTAGGTATAAATTTGGCTGATTTTAATAAACATATGTTCGTGCTGATTAGTGCAATATTTTATCTAGCTCCACTTTATATGTCAAGTGCATTATTTTATTTTTGGAGTAGGCTCATGGTCTCTGAAGTCAATCTAAGTTTCTTTACTCCCTGCCTGTTGAATAACGCATCTGCCCGACTCTTCATTCTAGGGGACGAGGCCATCTCCGCTCTGATTGAGGCCCTGGAGTCTGAGGAGAGCGTCCTGGCGCGCGGAGACGTCGACATCGTCGAAAACGCTGGCTTGAAGCTGGTAGTGGAAGGAGAAACTGTATGTGATTTGGGAGAATGCGATATCGCCACCCGGCTGCTGAGTGCTGACATGGGCGATAGCGCATGCATACTGTGTTTGGGAAAACATCCACTTGCTTAAGCTAAAAATGTGTTCATATTTGGCTCTGGAGTTCTTTGGCTTGGATGTGTAAGGCAAGTGACACGGCCGAATGGAAAGCGTTCCTGCAGGCTGATTGCGGGCTGATCGCAGGCTGAATGCGGGCTGGTTGCGGGCTGATCGCATGGGCTGGTTGCGGACTGGTTGTTCCTGACTGGAGACTTGCAGGCTGATTGCTCAGAGTAAAGAGGAAGGTAATACATTTTAAGGTGTATCAAGTACTGTGTTTGCGCAGGAGATGTGACGGCGCAGGTCGATAGCCATGCATGGAGGTTCAATAGACGAATGAACGGGGATTTTGCGGTATTGCAATAGAACTGAAAGGGTTCTACAACCGATATTCAGAACACAGGGTGGTTTCCCTATAAACCTCAGGAACTTATTCACAGACCCTTTGGGGTTCTTATCTAGGTGCTAAGAACGCTCTTATTATAAACCCTAAACCTCATAAGAGTCTTTGGAAGAATCGTGTGGATTCTTTTGATGAGAATGCAAAGCCGTCTACGTGAAGAACCATGGGGGTTCTGAAAAACGGTGGCATAACATTTTACCCCACAGGGGTCTAAATACCCCTGTACATTCTTAACGTTCTTCCAAAGTGTTTTCAGTGCATGAAATCATGATGATTTTTTTAATCATATCCTAATGATTTTGTTGTAGCTTTTATGGTTTCCCAATTATTTATGGTGTGATTGCTATCACCATGTATTTAATACTCATATCTCTTGTTAAAACAAGTCCCTGATGCACTCACCGGCAGCCCCTTCAGCTTGTTCATCATTTCGCTGGAGGCGCTGATGTAGCCCTTGAGCTTGTCAATCTTGGCCTCGAGCTCCTGTCGGTCGCGCCGGATCCTGTCCAGCAGAGGCTGCGGGCCGCGCTGATCAGCACCGGCGTCCTCCTCCTCAGAGGCCGGCCCGGCGGCGCCCACCAGACGGCGCTCCACCTGCCGGCGCGGAGACCACAGCGGTGAGCCGCCGGCCACCAGAGACCACAGCACTACTCGTACAGCAGGCCCGCGGAGACCACAGCGGTGAGCCGCCGGCCACCAGAGGCCACAGCACTACTCGTACAGCAGGCTCCGCAGACCACAGCGGTCAGCCGCCGGCCACCACAGGCCACAGCACAGCACTACTCGTACAGCAGGCCCGCGGAGACCACAGCGGTGAGCCGCCGGCCACCAGAGGCCACAGCACTACTCGTACAGCAGGCCCGCGGAGACCACAGCGGTGAGCCGCGCCCGCCGGCCACCAGAGACCACAGCACAGCACTACTCGTACAGCAGGCTCCGCAGACCAAAGCGGTGAGCCGCCGGCCACCAGAGGCCAGAGGCCACAGCACTACTCGTACAGTATATCGAAAAAGTATGTCCCCTGGTTTGGCTCTCCCACAGGAGGCGAATCGGTAACTTGGCTGAATCCCAGCTGCGGCACCCGGCCGCCAGGGTCGCTGCCGCGCGAGCGACCTTGACCGCTCGCATGTCATTGGTATATATTTTGGCTCTCAGTCAATTGTTATCGATAGTTTTATGAACGGTTAGCGGTAATTTAAGTGATTTTTAAAGAAAAAACACATATTCTGCTTGCAATTTCGATTTAAGTCCGATCCGTGCCTAGATTCGAACGCACGACCTTTGGATCACGGTGCAAGCATCCTAACCACTACTAGAGAGGTCAATCGGATACCAACTTTTTGGTATACCGATACCAAACCGATACCAACTCGGTATTTGGTATTTCAATCCTAATGTGTTTGGTATTTTGTTGGTATCATGAACCCTCGCGAATGTTTAAAGGGACTATCCCACCTTTAACATGGGGTTTGAGTTGAGATACCAAGTTTGCGGCGAGGTTCAGAAACCACTATCTATCTAGGTTGCAACCACTAGGTTGCAGCTCTTGGTGTTGAAGAAATTCGTTCCCTTCATTTGAAAATGGGCCTTGCGCAAGGCCCTATCTTCAACATGGAGCGACCGTTAGTGTGACGTCACCTCGTTTAGTCATTATGATTTAAATGGGTTTGTTCGTTGAAAAATCGCCTAAAACTTGGTCTGAACTTTGTTGTGGTGCCTACAGAGAAAAAAGAATCAGCTTTATGACAGTAATGTGGCCTGGGGAAGGAGGTAATTTTGGGCTGTGACGTCACATATTTGAAAGTTTGTGTTTGGAATATGGGAAGCCTAAGATGTTTAATGAAAAATAAATGCCAGAACCGTGTTCCCGGTCATCCAATCTATAAAGTCGGGCACAATTTAACTGGTTTTAACAACATTTTAGAGGTGGGATAGTTCCTTTAAGAGGCTAAGAAACTGGCAAAAAGTTGGTATTTTCCTCATGTTCCCAAGTTGGTTTGGTTTCGGTATTTCTACACGGTTTTTGTTGGTATTTGGTTTGGTATCGGTATTCCGATTTTCCGTAATTGACATCACTAACCACTACACTACCGCGGCGGCGCAGCGGCCGGCGGAAGGGAGGCTGTGGTATCCTGAGCCGTCCCCCCTCCGACCGCGGCTGGGACCGCCCGTGGCTAGGCCGGTGCGGCGGCCGGAGACGCGCATGCGTGGGCCGGCGCGGCGGCCGGAAGTGTGGGCAGTCGCCGCTGAGCCCTGGCCTCGTGGGCACGTGTCTGGACGGGGAGCCGGCACGGGGGAGTCCCGTGCCGGGTGTGTCGGACTAATACAGAAGTGTGCCATTCCGAACCGCTTTCGGGCCAGGTGTCGCACGGCTGAGTAACGCGAGGCGAGGACAGAACCACGACAGAACACCCTGGCGACGGAATGAGACGTCTCGCGAGTGTTTAGTGCGCGCGGTGGCGGGCGAGAGCGGATGGGCACGGAGGACGAACGGTGAGATGCGGAGCGAATTGCTAATTGCTTAGTGCTTAGTTTTTTTTTTTTCGCTGCTGCATGTGTTCGGTTTGCCCGTTGCTCGGTGGTGACACACGTGCGTGTTTTCGCCGGATTTTGGCAGCGGCCATGTTGCGCGGTCGACGCGGTGGCTGGCGTCGGCGGGCTGCGCTGTGATTGGGCCGGCCGGTGGTGACGTCAGACGGGCACGTCGCGTGTGATTGGCCGGGACTCTCCGCTCGATGACGTGATTGTGGCGTCACGGTCACGTGACTCCCCCGCCGGAGAAAGCGCGGGAAACGACGACAGCGGCGGCGCCAGGGACCGGCGGCCGGGCGGTGGGGTAACCGGACAAAAAGTCAAAAGGAATAAAGTCAAAAGACAAATAGTCAAAAGACAAAAAGTCAAATGCAAAAAGTCAAACGGGATAAAAGTCAAAAAGATAAAAGTCAAAACGGTTAAAAGTCAAAAGACAAAAAGTCAAAAGCAAAAAGTCAAAATGTGCAAAAGTCAAAAACGCAAAAAGTCAAATGACAAAAAGTCAAAAATGCAAAAAGTCAAAAATGAAAAAGTCAAAAGGATAAAAGTCAAAACAGAAAAAAGTCAAAAGACAAAAAGTCAAAAGCAAAAAGTCAAAACGTGTAAAAGTCAAAAGACAAAAAGTCAAAAATGCAAAAAGTCAAAAGGATAAAAGTCAAAACGGTAAAAAGTCAAAAGACAAAAAGTCAAAACGAGTAAAAGTCAAAAGACAAAAAGTCAAAACGGAATAAAGTCAAAAGACAAAAAGTCAAAAGCAAAAAGTCAAAACGGGTAAAAGTCAAAAGACAAAAAGTCAAAAAATGAAAAAAGTATAAAAATAGAAAAGTCGAAGTCAAAGTCTGAAATAAAAAGTCAAAAGGATAAAAGTCGAAGCATCGATCTTTTCATCTTTTGAAAAATATTATACAGCGCAACGTACCCTACCCACTGAAGTTGTAAGGAACATGTGAGTACGCGAGGGATTCTGACAGGTACCGGGGTCCGCAGCAGCGGGGCAGGGACGCTGGCTGCGGTGGTGGGGCCCACGCTCACATAATACGCGTTGAGCGCTTCCGGCGTGCACGCTGGCGCAGCAGCAGTGGCACTCTTCCCCGCCCCGATCACCGGCCGCAGCACTGTCCACATCCTCGCCGGTCCTGCCTCACGCAGCTGGTCAGCATAGTATGACGCGTGGTCACGTCTGATGGCCGCTCGACACTGCCGGTTCACCACCGTATACTCGGCGCGCGGGCCGAGCAGTGCGCGCCGCCGCGCCAGCAGCGCTCGCGTGGCGTCCGTGGTGCGCGGAGCACCGGGCGGCGGCAGCCCCTCCCCCATGGGAGAGGGTGAAAAGCAGTGCCTCCTCTAAGCAGTTTTGACTGGGGGGCCCGATCACGGGCAATGACTAAGGTAACCCCTACCAAAAACGTCTAAGACTAAAAAATGACTAAGGCACCCCTCAGTGACCAGTTTGGAGGATGACTGCGGGGGCTGCAGCTCCCGCAGTTAACATGTTAGAGGAGGCATGGGTGTCGTTTGTATAGGCATGGTAGGGCCCGAGCCCTACCAATAATTTTGGAAATTTAACATTATGCCTATGGCGTTGCGTGGAAAGAATCGCTTTGAATTGGCAAAAATTTACATTAGAGCCCTACCAATAATTTTCGGAAAGTGTCGCCCCTGAGAGGAGGCCCTGGTGAAAAGCCAAAACCTCAAAATAAAAAAATACCATGTGATTAACGCTTAACCCTCGCACCGACGGGGGGCGGATATCCGCCCCCCCCCCCTGAGGTTTTTTACGAATAGCGGGAAAACCGCGGCGCGTAGCGCCGCGAAATTTGGTATGACTATAACCTTATCAATTTTACACATGGTGTGCAAGTTTGAACCTCCTACCTTTTAAGGTCAGGTCACCAGGTCACTTTGAATGACCCAACCTCAAGTCACTTTTTTGCAACTTTGTCACCGTGCCAGAGCTACAGTAGATGTCGGAGGCCTTTGAAAGTCGCAGGATATTATAAGGTCATTAGTAGCTACAATTGTATATCTCGGAATTTTGATATCGGTGACCTAAGGTCAGGTCAATTTCGCGACCTTCCCATTATAAGTCAATGGGGGAAAAATCAACTCCCTGTTTTTACCACTAAAACGGGTCGGAATGGCCCCATATACCATACATGACTTCATATACGATCAACCTTCACTACCTTGAGGTCTGTTTTGCTGTTGGGCAGCTGTGAGGTCATGTGACGTCATCAAAGGTCACCAAAGGTTTTTGGCCAATAACTCCGTACAGGAACAAGATACAGACGCGTGGATGGTCTCATTGTGTTCAGCTCGTCAAGACGCATCGAATGATATACATGATGACCTCGAGGTCACGTGACCTGAGGTCAACCTTTGACCTTGACCTTTCGAGGTCAACATATATATCATTCGATGCGGATTGACGAGAGGATCACGATGATGCCCTTAGTTTGTTCCTAGCTTGACTAATTCGAAAGTTATTCGAGAAAAACTCTCCATATCTAGCGCCGCCATTTTGACTTTTTCGACCCCTGTGACGTCATCTTTGACCTGACTAGAAAATGACCTTAGTAAAAATTGTAGATCTTGGCCGTGCGTATCCGATGCCGTTTACCGCTTGTCGCTATCTTGCTTCGTTCTCGAGATCTCAGGGGGGGCGGTCATCCGCCCCCCCCCCCCGTCGGTGCGAAGTTGGCGCAGACCCCCGTCGGTGCGCGGGTTAAATGACGTCAATGGACTTAAAGTAAAAAATACAAAAGACGAGATAATTTCAAAATTTTGAGTAGCAATTTTTGTCCCCTCAACTTTCAACCTACCCCATCAACTTTTCAAACGTTCCCGGGTCACCACTGCCCCATGACCCATCGTGCAATTCCAGTGCTATGGCAAAGTTTTATCTGAAAGTTTAAACGTGCCCGATAGACTGGACGCGGTCCCCTCCGTCCACTCACGCTCTCTGGTCTCTGTACGGTCATCGCTGACTGGTCCAGCATCCAACGCGCTGGGTTTATAGAAATTTGGTTAAAAGAAATGAACATATTTTAATGAACGAATCC